AGTGATATTGAACAACAGTGAGTTCTCTAGCAAAGTCTGAGAGTATAAACTACCCAACCAAGTTGCGAAGGGGGAGGGGGGAAGAGTGAGAGCTGGGTTGTGATGATGGAGTTCCAAGAACCAATAATGATTACACAACTACCAAAAATGATAAAGAGCAGGCGTTCATCATTATAGAAGCGACGAGGGCAGAGAATACATAAGAGTTAAGGATTACAACTTGAAAGGCACATTTATACATAAAGTATTGCAATATAATAATAATGGCAATAGCTACGCTCTATATTATCCCTCTCAAACACTCTCACTCTGCAATAAGAAACCCTTATTATACCAATATGAAATACAACAATTTCTTAGTGAAGTTTTCACAAAGATAAAAGAGATAAATTTGAAAGTAGTGGCAGGAGAAGGAATGATAACTGTTTGGGGGCTTGTAAGTGAGTGACCTGATCCCTTCTTCTAATGCTAACCACCTAACTTGATCCTTTGATGCTCAAGAAAAATAATTAAAAGATTGAAATTGCATTATACTACCTTGCAGCCATGCTATTCCACGAACCTCGAGGTTGTCCTGCAGTGTGGGGAAGGCAGAATATGTGAAGGTGAATGATGGTTTCAAGGATGTTAGGTGTGTATGGTGAAAGATTGGAGGTGAAGAAACTACTACATGAAGGATGAAGGTCTGGACGTTTTTTTTCCTTTAAATTTGCTAAAAAATGAAGGAAGAATAACATATATATGCGCAATGGCATTTTTGTAATTCTTGGGTTGATGGGTCAGAGTTGCTCAGTAGCTTAATAAGTAGATTTGGGTGAGTTGTCAAGTTTTGAGTGGTTTTGGACACTGTTGACAGCTTCCTGGCAGTGACATTATGAACAACCCAATGGTTCTAGCGAGACTTTGCTGGTTCTAGCGAGACTTTGCTGGTTCTAGCGAAACTTTGCTGGTTCTAGCGAAGGATTGGAAATTGCCTATTTTTGGTAATTTCTCCAGCCATACGAAATCCCACTTCTGAGCAGGTACTTGAGTGCAGCTGGCAAATAACACCTGCATAGGATTTGGTGGAGTCCCCAGGGTTTGTTTAGGATTTTTGGAAGATTCTCCAAGCAACAGTAATCTTTTCATCAATTCTCAACATGGTGTAACTTGTGCAGCCATCTTTGTATTGAATATGGCTACAGGCTACTGATGGAGATTAAAACAACATCTTTGGTTGATTCTTCATGCGATTTCAAGCTCCCGGTTAGTATCAAACGGTACTGTTTCGAAAATTAGGCTCACTTTCTCATCTTCACCACCCAGCCTCTTTTTGGCGAAGTTGGGTAACATTGCCAACGCCAAGTTTCGTTGGTACGGATACCCTACTTCACCAAACAGGCAACATTCACCCATCCATGCCTGCAAAGCCACTACTCCCAAAGTTTATCCCGAATATTTTTCATGAGCTTAGATTCATGGGTTCGTGCCCATCTACAGCAAAGGTAGAATATTGGTGAGTATTTGTTCAAATATTTAAGTATAAAATGTACAAATATGTGCAGCAAAGAAGGATACTCCCTTGTGTATTAAAGGAGATGGTGAGGATGAACATAGCTACGCTCTTTCATGTCACAACCATGGTGAACACTTGCATGTAGCTGTTACATATGGTTGGCATTGCGCTAAGATAGAAAGTGGAAATATTGATGTGTGTTGTGACGTCGTTGTCCCGATCCAAGCATCGCTGATCGGTGATACCTACTAACACATGGAACATGGAAGAAATATGTTATGAGTCAGGATTATTAGTGACTGATAATTTGGTCCCTTAATATGAAAGAGTAATGAGGTACATGGTCACTGGCCATGTCTCACAAGTATCGCAGGATCGTTGACCCATTGTCATAGGGACAATAGTGGCTAGTTTTGTCCATGACTGGAGCTGAGCTATGTGGAATCGGAAGAGCACTCCTGTTAATCTGCCAAGTCCCAAAGGGGTATGTCTCGTTAAGCCAAAATTCACCATAGTGATGAATATGATACATAGAGAGAGGTGGAGTTGCCTCCATGGAAAAGGGACACCAGTCGCATCCATGGCCTCCGATACGACAAGATGTGATACCATTAACAAACACTAGCCCTTCTTGTAAGACCACTAACAAATGTTGGCCTTTCTTGTTGTACCCGCACCGTCAGAGGGTGATCTTGGTTGTTGTTGTCCATTGGGCACCACACCACCATGCACGACTGACCATTAAGGGACCACCGGTTGCTACTTGATGGATTTTTATTGCTGAAGGGTAGCCATCTTGTCCAATCGTGGGGTTGCAACTATTACCAACCTCACGCTAATTGTACCGAGTTACGCTGACTCTTTGTCTATTTTCGAGAGCAAGTGAGATAAAATGTATAGAGATCTGACCCTCTGTCCATTGGTAGGAGCTGGTGTGATGAAGATATGCAGAAGTATGTAGTTTTTTGTCCATTGTTGGAGGCCAAATGACAAATCTGACCCTTTGTCCAACATTGGGAGCTATGTAGATACATCTTGTTGTCCATCGATGGGAGCCATGTATGTGCAGCAAAGTCAACTCTTTATCCATTGTTGGGAGTCGCAAGATATAATAGTGAATATTGCTGTGGAGGACATGACTGTCAAAAACGTCCAACCATGTCATGGAAATAGATCTAGTCACGTTTGGTCATGTATATAGAAATAGATGTTGGAGTGAGCTGTGTTCTGTAGTGTTTCTAGCGAAGTGAATAAATGCCTCTTTTGGCAATGCTGACTTTATTGTAGTAATCAACAGAAAATAGCATGACTGATATGGAAGATAAGTCATGTGGGCCCTTGTTGACGTGGGATCACATGTGTCTCTAACTTAGAACAATACAAATTCATTCCTCAACAAGTAGTATTAAATTTTTTATAATTTATAAAGTGATTAAACCTACTAGAATAATTTGAAAATTAATATGTATAATTTATATGAATAGAATTTTCAATTCAATAATTAATTTTTAAAAATATTAATTAAAAAATAAATTTTTAAATAGGTCCTCTAAAAAAATTTAAAAGAATGATTTGTAAATACTTATATATATATTTGAAAAAAGTGAAAATTATAATATCTTGATATTTAAAATTTCATAACTTCTTTTAAAATTATTTAAATAATCTTAATATATCTTTCTTATTTTTTAATTCATTAAAAATATTTAAATAATTTTATAAAGAATCTTAACATTTTAATCGTCAAAACATTTTTATTTTTTATAATTCTTATATATATAGTCCAATGTTTTGCATCCTAAATATTGAGATGTTGAATTAAGATATTGAAATAAAGACAATGTCTTAATTTGAATAAATAAAATTTTCCTTCCTCTATTAATTCCTCTCAAACCTACCAACTTTATTAATCGGTATGAATTAATTTCTAAAAATCAAAACCAACTTTCGCTACAAGCATCTATGAGAGGCTCTCCAGAAACTTGTGCGAGCCTAGTGCGTAGCTAACAGCAAGACAGATATCATACCATGGATAGGACTCCTTGGATAACCATAGATTATCATACCAAGAAGGGACAACCTTCAACGGACTTAGACCCTAGTGATTTTCTTCTCCAGGCGAAGCTAGGCTTGATGTGGAGGTAAAAGCACAGAAGAGCTGGATATGCCATTTTGGACACTATGATCCATGATTAGTAATTTCCAACGTTGACAGTTTGTATGAAAGAACACTGAAATCATCTATTTGGAGCACTAAGACTTCTTGTCATTCATCCCCAAGCATGGGTGTACTAGAAAATTTAACACCAATGATTGTACTAGGAAATGACTATGCAGAGAAATATCAAATTGTCTAACCCAAATTGAGTTCTCCATTGTCATCCATATTTCCAAAACATACACCAATCTCGATTGATGACCAAACAGGATAGTTTTCTCTTGACTTCCGACAGTTTGACACCATTGTTTTTCTTCGAACAATCTGGTAACTCAATCTCTTTGAAAGTCTCATCCTTGACACCAAGATCAAATTGCCATCACTCTTGCAACCCTTTTTCTCAGTGAGCCAATTGAATGCTCCATCAAAAATTAATGTCTCTTCATCTAGATTGTATGAAACCCCAGCATCCTGGAGAATCTTCCATGAATTTTGTTCTAGCGAGTAAACTTGAACTTGTCCATAAACAATTCTTACAACTTTGAAATCATTGTTGGGAAAATCATAACCAAAACCGATTTTACAAGTATACGGGAATGGAAAATGGTTAGAAAAATGAGGGGGAAGAAGCTTGAGTCTTCGGATGGAAGGGTTTAGAAAAGCCAGTTGGTCATCACGGTTACGCCTCAAACAGAATAAGCCATTATAAAGTTCTAATGACTGTAAGTACTGCTTTGACTGGAATATCGATTTAGCAATAACTTCTTGTCATTTAGGGAGATGGATGACAAGTGTAGTGGGGTCTTGTTAATCTGAAGGAGAAACTTGTTAATTTGCTTGGAGTGGTGGTGGAGATGAAGGAGAAAGGGTTGAGGATTGGAGAAAACCTGAACCCAGGAATTGGACAAAAATCTGAATCCGAGGATGGATTTCAGCCGTAATCTGACTTGACTATCAAATCCTCTGGTAACATTGATCCTGTTTAGAACTAGAAAATTGGGCTAAAAACTTTCAAATCACAATGAAAAGTAGAATTTGCAGATTGGGAGACTCGTAAGGGAGAAGCATGTAGTTATATGTTCAATGTGTTGGGAGTATTCAAACATGTGAGTAAAGTTGTGTACAATATCCTGCATTAGTGAAAAATAAAGCAATATATATAGATGTATATTAGAGATTCATAAATTAACAAAATAAACGTATTTTTTAAATTTAATATGGCATCTTCTTGTGCATGTATAGATTGCACTTCTTAATTAACAATTAATGATAGAAAGGTCATTTTAGGATATGAGAGTTTTTAGTTTAGAGGTCTTAGTACTGTTTATATATTTTGAACTATAAATAATAATTATTAATTATTGACTACATCAAAATAATGAATCCAAATACCCTCCATATATTTTAAAATCTATAATACACTTTAGAAGTGGCAAAGATAATAAAATATTATTAACAATTTATTAGTATTAATAAAATTAGTTCGGTTCTCTTTAAGTAAGGATCTAAATTCAAATTTTATGCATAAAAACAAGAGTTAAAAGAACTTATTTTTTGATGAAATATGATGTCATTTGAATCAAAATTTAATATGATTATTAGATATTAAGAGGTGGTTATAAAATATTCTTAAATTTGATGTAGATAGAAAATCAAATACAAAATCTAATACAGTTAGGAGGTTAAACGAACCGTCCTTAATCTTTAATCTAACGATGTTGTATCAAGGCGGCAGTCCCACCAGTTAGTCCTCTCTCCTAAACCTCTGAGGGCTCTAAAAATTTGTTAGGCAAAACCCAAAGAAACAGTAACTCAGTCGGTGCTGATCGGCCATGGCGGATCCCTTGACAGTCGACGGCGCCGACGAGGATGAAATCCTCTCAAAATCGGAGTTTCTAAGTCGGGAAGAGGTGCTACGCCGACGCTCCCGCCGGGTGAAACAGCTTGCGAAGCTCTACCGAATGCACTACTGGGCACTGATGGAGGAACTCAAGAATAAGCACAAAGAATACTACTGGAAGTATGGAAAGAGCCCATTCAAGAAAGACGATATAAAGCATACTGATTGTGGTGCGAGCCAGAGAACCGACGAGGACGGCGGGAAGTTAGGGTTTGCCTCGGTCACACAATGTGCTTCGGCTAATTGTAAGAAGAAGGCGATGCCTCTCAGTGGGTTTTGTCATTCGCATATTTTGGCTGATTCCAAGCAGGTGCTCTATAAGGGCTGTAATTATCCTGTCAAGAGGTTTGGCTTATCTAATTCTCTTTTTATTTTTATTTTTATTTTTATGTTTAGTTTGTTTTTATTGATTGTTCTGTAAAATTTTTGGCTCCAAAGTAAGAAAGAGTCAATTTTCCAGGGCTTGTAATTGATTATAGAAATTATAGTTTAGAGCGGAGGAAAGATGTTGGAGAACCCCTTCATGATTTTTCCTCATAATTTTCTGGGGATGGTAAGTAATTATGGCTATTAGTTTGATATGGGACAAATTGCTACATGTAAACCAGTTCCTTGTGAGGGAGAACAAGAAAAAGAAGGAAATCCCTTTTCCCATGTTTCCCTATTGTTCTTTTTCCCCCTAATTAACAAATGTGATTTACTCAGAAACAATCAGAGAAATAGTATTGATTTAAATATCATAACAATTTTGGATTCACTAACTTCAATGAAGAAGTTCTTCAATGGTCGTTTGTTGGATACCTTTGTGTTTAGAGGGTAAATTACCATGAACAGGAGGACACTGAAATGTCAATCAGTAGAGAGTACATAATTGGATTAACAAAATTATGAGAAAGGTTTTTTGGTAATAATGAAAAGGAACAACCTTTTAGGAGGGTGCATTTTTCATGGATGACATGACGGAGTTGGGGCTCTAAGGAAAGGCTAAAACTAAGCAAGATCTAAGTTGAATGAGTCAGTTATGGAAGTTGACAAAAATGGGATCTAAAGAACGAAGGAGGATAGTCAGACAATTTTTGAAAATAGATTTTACTAGAAAAATACTTCTAGCAGTTTTATGGCTTGTTGGGTAGATCTATGTTGTTGGCACTTTATACATGTGGGAGGCACATAGTTGCCAGAAAATTTACTTTCTTGTTGGTAGATTCTTTTTATATCTTGTGAAAAGCACATAGTTGCTAACACTCAGAAATGCTTATTGGCCCCACTCTATATGTGCAGAAGAGAAAGCATATAATTTCTGACTCATAGACTTGCTTGTTTAGACATTCTTTTGGGATTATATCTCCTTTGTCCTTGCCAGACAGCAAGTGCATTGTATTCGGTTTGCATGGTATCTTAGTTTGTGATAATGGATATTCCTATTTCTTAGTGTTTCAAGCTTTTGTCTATGGTTGCATTTGGTAGTCATATGGAGAGATTTATTGATCTATTTTTTTAAGGCCTTAACTCTATGTGGTTCAGAAATCATGAATTTAAAACTTGCTGTATTATGTTTCAATTTTGTTACTTGTAGATCCTAGTTTGTACCTTCTGATAAATGTTTCCTAACCATATCCTGGTCTATATTTAGTGGGCAGATATGTGGGATGCCAGTTTTAAGATGCATTAATCCTCCCCAGTGCGCCACCCATTCCCAGCTTGCTGAAAGATATCTTGTACGAGCCCTGAGGAGGGCAGGTCTTAATGTCTCTTCATCAAGTAAGGTTGCTCCCAAGCTACATATTGTTGTTGCTGATTATGTTCGCCAAATCCAAGCTAAAAGGAGAGCTGCACAAGGAGTAAGTGAAACAAAAATTGTGGTCAAGGAGGAGAAAACCAATTAAAGCAAAAGATTCTTCTGCATATACTCATTCAGCCAATAGATTTTCAAGTTTAGAGCTGTTGGTGGATTTCAGGATTTAAAGTCTAGGGTGATTAAGATCTGATTGGGACACTCAACTTGTGCCTTGGAGATTGATTGTGTATATTGAGGTAGCTTTTACTATTCTCTCATTTTTTAAATTTTTTATTCAGCCAAAGATGATAAATTGATTAAGGTGCCCTGCTCATGAAAACAAATGGGAAGTATACAGGTTAAAATTTTGATTGAAATTGTAATTCTTAATTTACTTAGAATGAGACAGAAGACATTTTGAAATTCATTCATTTATTGAAACTGGACTAAAACGTCATTCTCTTGTGGTATCACCGCTGGAGATTTGACACATGCCAGGGACTTCTATGCAGACTCCAGTTGGAAGAAGCGTTGAATGATCTGCATGTTATGCTTGTTTGCAATTCATTTTATGATTATCTTTACGCGCTGGAGGTATATATTTTTATATTTATGGAATACCGGCTGTTTTTTTTTCTGGATGGAATACGTGCTGGTATTGATTTTTCTGACAAGAACTATGGCTCTTCTTGGTGGCATATGGTTTTTTGTGTAACTTGCATATACATTCTGGGATTATAGTGTCCAGGTGCTGTGGTCTTATTTTACATGCGTCATTTTCAGTTGCATAATATCGGCTGACCTAGGGGCCAGCTTTATTAAGAAAGTAATGTATAGGAAGATGTAAAGTTTTATTGAGTTGTTAATTTTTCTTTGTTTGGAAGAAATTAATATTGGAAAAGTTAATAGAAAAGTTGTTAAGTAGATCTTATATAACAGAAGTGGGGGGAAAAATTTTTACTTTTAAAAAGTATTGGAAGAAAAATTTATTGGTTAGGAATTGTGTTAGAAAAAATAAAAGCTGAAAATGTCAATTTTTACAATTCTTTTGTCGTTGTACTAAGGTATGAAAATACCTAAATAATTCTTAAAGAACGCAAGGCAAAAGTTGGGTCTAAAGTTTCCTCCCCAACCAAATGCCCCATAAACATTTCAATATCCTGCACCCTAAGGGTGTTGGCCCAGATGGCAATCCAAGAGGGGGTGAATTGGGTTTGTAAAAACCTATTGTAATTTTTGAATAAAGCAATGATCAAACACAAGTAATCAATAAACTATTGTAAATTAATTGCAAGAATTAAAAGAGTAGGGTTTGAAATATCAAACACTTTGATTTATCTTGATTCGTCATCCTCTTTGGTGTTTACGTCTAGTCCTTGAGTTTCCTACGCTTGAGATTTAATCAACTAACACTAGCTTCAACGAGTGTTAATGAAACCGATTACAATAGCTTGTTGGTGCTATCAACCATTTCAATCCCTTGGTACAAATCTCTCAACCCATTTTATACCTTAAGGATAGATTCCTAGATTTAACAAGGTTTCCCCAATTCCTTTCTCACTTGTTACAATGAAAGAGAACAAGAAAAGTAAGAGAATTCTCAATGCACAAGGTAGAAACTTAAACACTCTTAGTTTTTCAACTTGATGGCTCCATTCTTCTTCCTTCTCCACTCTTCTAGATCTGATTTTTATAGCTTGAGAGTGCTAAATCAATGTTTTTACCGTTGGAGCTCCCTTTTGGAATGCATATATTCCAAATATGGTTGGTAAATTAATGTTTCAGTATAGGGGGTTGAAACTTGCCTTTATGGGTTGGAACCTGGAGAATTTTCTGCATAAACCTTCAAAAAACAGAATTATCAAGAGTTTCAAACCCTGTTCCAAGGGTTGGAACCTCGACTGCAAAATGCATTTTTTGTTTTTGACACCCCATAAAAAAAGAAATATAATCATGCAATTAAATAGATTTTTACCCAAAAGGAAACACATTCAAAACTTAATATTTGAAAATTAATTCAATATTACTAATAATAAATCATATATTAACAAGTAAATCAACTTCCAATCAATTCAACAAATAATATATTCTAATTCACATTTGGTTTTCAAATTATCAAAATCAAGAATAACAAAGGGATGCTCCAATAATTTGAGCATTGGATTTTCCAAATTGGAGGACTTAAGTTGGAACGGGTGGGGCTGGATTTTGAAGAGAGAAGGGTTATTCCATTTTGTATACCCAAGAAATTAAAAAAAAAAAAAGAAGCTTTTCAATAGCTCTTTTGGTCATTCCCCCAATTGACAAGAACTATACTTCCATATTTTAGGATATGATATTAAATTAAACCATCAAATACATGAACCAGGCAGGATGTAATGACGGATGATTGTCTGACCAACATTTGCAAGCAACAAGTAAAGTCTCACATACAGCCAAAGGCACGTCCATCCCTCCAGGATTGATTGTTTTTTGTCATTCAATTTGTAACTTTCTCAATTTGGTGTTGGCCTGGTGTACTCCTGGTACCCAGCCGCAACACATAATAAAGTTTTCTTTGCATTTCAAAAAAAAAAATAGCTTAGTGTAGAAAGATTGGATTGAGCTACTTGAGTATATGGGGCAGCAGAGTTTTACCATGGCAGTCTCATTCAACTTTTAAGTTTCTTCATTTTTCTAAGCATAATTCAGCAAAATTTGCTTGCTGTTAATCATAGTCATTTATACATAAGTAGTTGAAAGCCAAAATTTATTTGACCATTGTCTTACTGTGTGTTTTTGGGGACTTAGCGGATAGTTGTCCTGTGATTAGTTTAGAAAAAGAACATTTAAACTCTTCAAATTTAATATCATGTCTAAAAGGTTTATTGCAATCATTTACAAATTTGTAATACCGTGTTGGAAAAAAAATTTTGTTCATTTGTGTTTTTTTTTTTTTTTTTAGTACTAACCTTTTGTATTTGAAAGTTACATTAGAACTTAATTAATCTGAAGTTAAATTAAGTTGAATCCCATAAAAGAAAGCTCTCATAAACTCGAACTTGAAATCATACTTAAGACGAATTGAGATCCTTTTACTTTGACCAATAAATAATTGGTATTTGTGCTTCTTTATTTTTATTTAGTTCCTATCAAATTAGAAGAAACAGTGTATCTATTGTGTGGTTCCTAAATTGCCCCTGATCAAGTTCACATGAAAATTTAGTGAGATTCATTTAGATTTTATACTTAATTAAATTGTCAACTATGAAAATTTTGTAGAAGATGGATTTCACATCTTTCACAATGTTTGAGCGACCCTTTTTACACTTCATGTAATGTAATGTTGCTCATTACTACCAGCTTTATGGTAGTGGCATGCGCATGTGTGATTGATCTCATTTGATTTCAAAAGAGTCCTATGTTTGTGTGTGTGTGTTTTTTTTTTATATGGTAAGAATCTTCTTGGGTCAATTTTTATATTCCTTAAGGCTAATCCATTTTCAGACAATTTTAAGAGTACAACCTCATGTTGGTCTTGCTCATTTAAAAAAAAATTAATTTCTTTAGGTGTTTGACCCCAAAACTTGAAACTTGAACATTACTTACAAAATGACTTTTGTTTCTTAGTGAATTCAATCTTTTGAGGTTAAAAGAGTCTAGGGTTTGAAAAGGCACAAAATGCAAAGGACTTGTCGAGTCTAGGCGCAAGGCAGAGGGACGTGCCCACCTAATCAACAAAGAAAGGTGCGCATACACACCATCCGAATGCTTTTGAGACACTGAGGACGGTACCTGCACTCTCGGACACACTTTTCAAAAGTCTTCCAGCTCTATCAATTAGTTAGGAATTAGGGTGAACAATTGAAATATAATGTTTTTGATTGCAATGGTTAGTAAAATTGGCATGTTTAGATTGGTATTTAATCGAATAATCTCTAAGCCTAGTGTTAATATTGAATAAGTGTTTGTTTGACCATTTGGTTTTGAAGTTAGGCCAATAATCGTTTTCTTAATTAAATGCTTCTAGCATTTTCTAGAATCTCATTTCACTTTCACTCTTTCAGATAAACTAAAAGTTGGAATTAAATGTTTTAGCTTCTTGAAAATAACTTTTATATATATTTGAGTTTAATGAATTTATTAAATTTCAAAATTATTTATGATGCAATATTTCAAGAAATATTTTGCTCCATGTGCAAATGTTTTGTTGCTTTGTCAATTTTTAGGGTATTAATATGTAGTTCCAATGATGAAGTTGGTGGAGCCACCAAAATAAGATCATGTAATCTTATTGGAGAGACAATGTTGATGTAGCTAGATCACAAAAGATACTCGGATCAGCACCACCCTGCAAAAACATCTTGTTTGACCAGTCAGTATCTTTTTTTTTTTTTTTTAATTTCAACTACATTTGGTATTTGGACTCAAATCTTTATTTATTTATTTATTTTTGAAAATAGGCAATGAGTGTATGGACTTGAATCTAGGCAGGAAGATAACCATTACTCTTAAACATCGTCGACTTTTGACAAAGGTAGAAGGTTTAATTAATTGACGATGTAGTAGGCTAAGGATAAGAGAAAAAGAAAAACCAACGGGGACGCTTTGCTGGGTATAATAAGAAAATAAGTAGGGAAGGGAAAGGGTGGGGATATAGTTTGAAGATAAGCATACAATACAGTAAGAGAAGGAAAACAATACCATTATCATTGATACGTTTGAGTTGACTGTACTTGTTTTGCATTTTGCTCTGACACATAACTTTTTGCATGTGCTTTTTACCGAAATTTTCGGTATGATAGACTCATACTTGAGTATTTAGGGTAGTATTTGTAGGCAAAATGATTTAAATTGCATTAT